TATATATATATAATTCCCAAAATGTGCATGTTTGTGTGATTGGATGTTTAGGCATTTCCACAGTTTTCATCCGATTTTGACGAAATTCTTTCTTCAATGCTGATTTTGAGTCCAAATTGTTGCCGACGATGGCTCTCCACTACTTCCTGTCCATTATAACTCTCAACACCGTTTTACTATTTAATATCTATTCTTGGATATATATATCTTTCATAAAAACATTAATAAAAATAAATAAATTAAATTATTATAATATTATTATTCATCATTATACAGGTCCATTTTCAGGGTAATCCGCCATTCAAATCGTTAACCACCCATCTGGGGATGTGCCTCAGTTGCACCAAAATTTTGTTACTAATATTGATTTTCGGGTGAACTGATATAAAACTGCATCAATTGAACGGCAAAGGTTCCCAGGAATGAAAGACCCGGTCAAAGACGGGTTATACTGCTAGTGTATATATTGCATACAATGATTGCTTAAAAACCTTACCTTCACTACGTGATCATAAACCTATATGTGCAAAATTATACGCATGCATTATATATCTTAGATAGTAATTGCTTTGTGGCTGGTCCGTTTGTCTGCATCTTGATATTTCTAAACCAGCAATCCCTTGACATTCCACCCATTCATTTTCTACATGTTTAAGATTCAGAATTTCGTGGAAATTTCAGCAAATCAGATTTTCAAACCACATCCCGGCAAAACTGAGCAATCACTCATATCCCGTTGGGATCGTTTTCTTTGTAGACATCAAAGAGTCAGCTGAAATTTCTTCGAGAAATAATGAGAAAGAAGGGCATGGAGAATTTGACACACACAGGGTATGTCAAAGGCAGAGGAACAGAGAAAGCAGTGTATCACGTCCGTCAAAAATCCTGTGTGATTAGATGGCCAAGTTTTAGCAAAGAGTAAAGTCGCTATGGGCTATAAAGGACAGCATGAAGCTGAGTACCAGAAAGGACACAGCGCGTAAAAGAAGAAGAAGAAGAAGAAGAAGAAGAAGAAGAAGAAGAAGAAGAAGAAAAAAGAAGAAGAAGAAGAAGATGCTGGACACAGCGCGTAAAAGGAGAAGAAAAAAAAACAAGAAGAAAAAGAAGAAGATGGACACAGCGCGTAAAAGAAGAAGAAAAAACAAGAAGAAAAAGAAGAAGATGGACACAGCGCGTAAAAAAGAAGAAGAAGAAGACGAAGAAGAAGAAGATGGACACAGCGCGTAAAAGACGAAGAAGAAGAAGATGGACACAGCGCGCAAAAGAAGAAAATGATGATGATGATGATGGACACAGCGCGTAGAAGAAGAAGAAGAAGAAGAAGAAGAAGAAGAAGAAGAAGAAGAAGAAGAAGAAGAAGTGGTTAGCATTTCATTTTCCAATGAATCACGTTAGTGACTTTGATTATTTTGAAAATCGTACCCATGTCTCGAAGAAGACTCTCGCGAGAGTTAGAATTACGTATTAAAACTACTTATCTCATTGTATTATTATCGTATAGAGAATAGAATATAAATGTTTGAATTCATTCGCAAATCTTTGGTTACGAAATTACATCCCAAGTTTTGATTTTTTTTTTCGTCGTGTCAAGTTTATCAGTTACATAGGTGAGATGTTTAGTTGTGAACAATTTTCTAGGTTATCGCTTAATTAACTTATTTCGACTTTAAGCCAACGAATCAAAGAAACAAAACGAAGCGATAACAATAACAAAAAAAATATCAGCTACGGAAGCAATGAAAGACTAATCCATTTAGAGACATTAAACCTAACATTGCATTTTTACCATAGATAAGAAGCACAACTGATACAATCACAAGCCTCGAAGCAGGAAACGTAAACAGTTACTTTCAGAGTTAAGATGCGTAAAGGGGAGCAATGCTAGCGACGTGTGCCGAGAAAGGAACCAGATATTTATTGTTAAAGGGGAAAATAGTATGCTTCGGACGAGGATGCGTTGGTCGTTATAATTCCAACCGGTACTACTATTGTTGGTTGCTTGGTCAATGAATGCCGAATGTTTCCTTATAAGGAAAAGGCTATTACCATTACCATTTTCTTTATTAAGGATTTTTGGGCACTTTCTAACATGGCCATACGCTTGCATCGTGTCCCGACCGATATTATCAAAAAGTCACTTCATTTGTGATCCTGGTGAAATTTGAACCCAACATGTTAACCATTCAGCCAGGCAACCAAGACAAGTATCATCAACCAAATAGTGGACAAATATAAATTTAGGGAAATGTAATGGCTAAAATATTGTAAAAAATGGATAATTCAAAAGTCGCACGAAATATATTTAGTATGAAAAGATAGGAGTCTGTTTGAATACCAGACACTTAAAAATTGGAACTCGGCTCTCCGAATGACAATTCCAAACCAAAACGATCCACACGTCGAAAGTTACCTGGGTCATCTATTTATGTACTAACCAGACTCGAGGCTGGTTAGTTTCGGTAATCATCCGGGAAACGGTGTTTCAACGTGATGCGGCTGTAAACTAGTCATACAAAATTGCTCGGATGTCGTCGACTTTGCTGCTTGCACAGAATCTTGAACGAGGTTCTGAGCGGACTAGAACTGCTCACCTCTTATTTCCGGCTGATTATGG